GACCCTTCTCTGATCGCCCCCATACCTCCCACAGTACCCACTGCTGTGAGATTGGGATTCCTATGACCATCTGTGATGACAGGCAGCTGGGCAGGGACACTAATAACAGCTTTTGTGCCACAGAGTGAGCCGATCCCCCTCAGCATGCTTTCCTTGGAGTGGCAATACCCTGTGAGCCAGCAAATAGCATATGCTCCCCACAATGGTTCATGTGAAGGGACAAAGCAGCCATAGGTCATGGGTTAGCTGACACAGGCTAGAAAGACGAAGGAGTCCTCATGCGACCCTGCTGCTGGAATCGACTTGAAGCCAGGTTTTCTTTTTCTTTTTCAAGTGTTCAGGGTGACAGTCACAGCCCCTCAGTCAATGTTGCCTGTAACACACGGATGGGAAATTCTCTAGGACAGGGGGCCTGGAGGGCAGGGAAACTGCAGGAAAAAGGCAAGGATGGGGTCCTGGCACTTATAGTCTATCTACAAAACAAATTCATGGCCTGCAAATGGCAAAGCTGAGTCTTCTGCCTCCATAGCCTTTTCACCTTTGCTGTCCACCAGTTCTAATGTGATTCTTCCCTCTTTCTCATGGGATGAGAAAGTGCTTGCGAGTTAAGCAAAATGAGTTCAAACCCAAGTCCCCCTGCCCTTAAGCTGCGTAACCTCCCAGGCTGGGTCTCAGCTGTACCTTCTGTGCAGTGGGCTAACTTGGCCCACCTCCCAGGCTGCACCAGATTTCTTGGAAGACAACACACACACAGTGCTATGTCAGGGCTGTCATAAGCTGCCACTGAGCAGGTACACAAACGATGTTCTCTTTATTTTCTCTCTCTCATTTTCCCTTTTACTTCATTTTCTTTCTTCACAGCTCTTTGTCCCTGTCCTCTAGCCCCCCCCCCGCCCCCGCCCAACACACACACACCCACACCCACACCCACACCAAGCCCGGAGCATGGAATGCCCACAGAACCCCTTCTCTACACTGAGGGAAAGGTCACAGTCCATGGTCAGAGTGGGGAGGCCCTCAGCAAGGCCAGCCCCGCTACCTGCTTCCTGGGGCGTCCCTGAGGGCTGGGCTCAGGGAGGGGCGAAGGTCTCCGAGGGGGGCGGGGGTTGGGCAGGTGGGGCCCTGGAGCCTGTGGAGGAGGGCCTACAAGACAGCCAGGTGGCTCCAGGGTTCTGAGGTGGGTGCCAGGGCAGGGAGTGGTAGCTTGGGAGGGCACAGTGTCCAGGGAGATGGCTGCAGCCCTGTGACTCTTCTGGGGACAGGGACAAGGGAACATGGCCCTGGTGCACACGGCTTGTGGCAGGTCTGAGTCAAAATACCTAAGGCCGACCCTGGCCGGTCATGTGGAGGGCTGCCCAGTCATCGCCTTATGCCGGCCTGGGTCACCCAGAAGGGCTGGGTGCGGCCCAGTCAGCTGTGACTCAGGTCCCAACAGCCTAGCCACACAGCACGGGGCAGGGGCACGGGGCACAGGGACGCCCCCTCCCCATCCCTGGCACCGCTTCTCCCGGCAACCACCCTGAAGACCCTGCCCCACCTGTGTCAAGTACAGTCTGGCCAGAAACCTGGGATTCTCTGTCCCTGTTGCTCCCAGCCCTTCAGCTGGGGGGTGGGGTGGAAGTGGGGGGAGCCTCAGCCACACGGCCCTTG